ATGAACGGTGGTCAGCCGTGTGGGAACCGAGCAATGTAAACGCTATGACATCTGCTGCCCCCCCCACCCCCCCACAAGTTATTTGATGCAAACAAATTTGAAATCATACTTACTTTTTTCTTAACTTTCCGAGAGTCCCTTGTAATTCACCCAAGGTCACACGGCCAGAGGTCAAGGTCTGCTCCAAGCTCTTTGTGGTGGAGACCTCAGGTCAGGCAGGTTCCCGCCCAGCTATGAATGTAGGGCCGGCAGGTGGCGTGGCAGTGGAGGCGCTGGGATCCCCCGTGGATGACCACAGTTCAAGTCCTGGACCCAGTGGCTTGAGACTCATGCCGGGCATGCCTGCATGGTGCCCAAAATCCTGAGAGGAGAAGGGAGAAGGGATTGAGGCATGGCCATCCCCTGTGGGGCTGACTTCTCACTTTCCCTCTCCCTCTGTCTTTCTCTGATAAGAGCATGTGCCCTATGGCAAAAATCTGAAAATAAATAAATGAGGACGTCTAGAATATTCCAGAATATTCTAGGCTTGGGGGAAATGGCCGCTCTCCGGACAAGACCAAGGGAGACCCTTGTGGGGAGCGTCCTGAACTCCAGCTGCTGTCTGAGTCTCCCTCTACCACCTGCACAGTGGGTACTGGGGTGTCTGGGGGGCCGTCTGCTGGGCCAGGTGGGAGGACAGGAGAGGGTGTGGGGCCTGCAGTGTCTCTGCCGAGCCCGATCGTGACCTTGGGCTTGAGCTAGCCTTGCCGGGCCCATCGCTCACCTGCCACCCACTCCACACACCTGGGGCCCTCTCCCCACCGCTTGGCCGTCAGCCAGGGGGCCCGGGAGTCCAGGCTGAGCTTCCTTGCAGGCCGAGGCAGGGCTGGTCTGTCTGAACTGTTGTGTGAGGAGCCAGGGTTCCCCTCTCCTCCCCCTCCCTCTTTTATTCTTTTCCCCCCCTTTTTAATAACTTTATTTATGCATTTTAATTTGACCAGAGAGGGACGGGGCGAGAGCGAGAGAGAAGAGAAAGCGAGCCTCCAGATCCAGGACTCAAACTGCAGTCGACCGCGTGGGACCCCAGCGTCTTTAACCACCATGCCACCTGCTGGCCCCCCTCCCTTTATCCTTAACAATGTTTTCATAGGGTGCCTGCACTCACCAGAGACAGAGACAGAGACAGAGACAGAGGGACGGACGGTGACAAAGCTCGCCCCAGGGGAGGTGGCCACGCCACAGTCCCTTCTCCTCCAGGCTCCCCTCAGGATTTGGGGCATGCACACTCACGTGCCCAGCGTGAATTTTGAAGCCGCCAGGTCCGGGACTCGAACCACGCAGTCAGGGCATGTGGGATCCAACCATCTTAACCTCCACGGCACCGGCTGGCCCTCTCCTTCCCTTTCTCTCCATTTTGGAGTCTCCTCTGACGCGTGGAGAGGTTCGGGAACCTTGTACGTCCTGTAAGAGCGAGGCCCCAGACCCGTGGGCCAGCACCAGGGAACCTCCGACCCAAGGACCCTCCCCGAGCCTTCCTGGCCGTCCCAGATCCCCAATATCCTGCGTGTGGCTTGCCGCCCGCACCCGCAGACCATGGGGCCCCTTCCCTCCTCCTGAGCCACTTGGCTGGCAGCCCTGAGGCCCCGGGGGGGACGAAATTTCCAACAGACCCAGCGAGGCGCTGGGGCGTCTGACGAGGGCAGAGACCCAGCTCTGGGGTGCACATGGCCTGCCCTCACCCTGAACCTGGCAGAGGGGGTCTGCAAGGCCCCCCACACTGGGCTCTGGGCCAGACCTCCTCCCGGTAGGCCCTGCCTAGCATCCAGTCTGCGAACGGTGCCCAGAGAGGGTCAGAAAATATCTCGGGTCACACAGCAAATTCAGGAGTCCTCTGGCATCAGGCACGTGGGCTCCTCCGGCCCCAAAGGCTGCACACCAAGGGCCGATAGTTAGGCCAGCTGCCAACCGCACCCCTGCCCCAAGGCCTGCCAGTGAGTGGACACTGAGATTCCATAGCCCACAGCAGGGTGCGAAGCCCAGAACTGGGGTGGAGGGTGGCAGGAGGCTTCCTTGTGGGGCAGCTCCTTGAGAAAAGGGGGGGCTTCCCCTCTGGGTGGGGGCTCCCTGCAGCCAGATGGGGTATGAGGGTGGGGTAGTCTCAGGTCCCTGCGGAGTGGCGGGGCTCGCTTCTCCCCTTTTCTGCAGCCAGGGCTCAGCCAGGCAGGACTCTGGTGGGATCAGGCCCGGCCTGGGGTGGGGACCGGGTCCGGCTCAGGTGGGGTCAGAGTTTGGCCTGGGACGGGGCTCAGCCTGGCTGTGACAACTGACCACAGGAGCCCTGTCCCTGGGCCTGCCGGACCGTCCAGCCTCCCTCTGCCTGTGGAGCAGAGACTGGCCACTGCAGGCCTGGGGGAGGCTGGAGGGTACGGAAAATCACCCTCCGCTGGGCCGGCGACAATGGCTGCTCCCGGACGGTGGAGGTCTGGGGTCCTCAATCACAGCTGTGGGGGGACCCCTTGCAGACAGCACCATCCGGCCACAGGGAGGGCAGGGGTTGGGACCCTCTGACAGGCAAAGCCTCCTGGTTCCGGGGCACCCCCAGGCTGCTGCGCACCGACTCCTCCCACGCCCTGTTTGCAGTTAGCCCCTGGCTGGGCTCGCTCCCTCTGGTGGTGCTGGCGGGAGCCCACTGTCACAAAGGGGGAAACAGGTCCCGAGGGGCAGGCTCTGATGGGCACCCGGGCCCCTGTGGGAACCGGAGGAGGGACCTGATGCAGCCCCGAGGGCTCCCTGGAAGAGGTGTCTCCACTGAGCCTGGGAGGAGGATGAGGAGTGAAGCAGGAGGCAGGGAGTGGAGAGGACAGTGGACAGCAGGAGACAGCGGGGTGCAAGGACTTCACACGGCAAGGCACCCCACTTCCATGTCAGCGGGGCGGCTGTGGGGAGCCCGAAGGCCTGCCCATCAAGGCGTGGCTGTGGGCCCAGGACACAGCGACACCAAGACCAACAGGCAGGAGTTATTCTGTCACAAGTCACCAGACAGCCCGCCGGCCAAAGGCCGGGTGCGACGCGGGGGACCCCAGCCTCGGATCTGTAAGGGGATCTGGGCATGGCGTGAGTCTCAGAAGGATTTCTAGAACAGGAAGTAGCCCCGAGAGGCTGCGGGGAGGCAGCCATAGCCCAGAGCTGTGTCCTCTC